TTCTCGGGTCTTGGCATTGCTCAAATGTGAAAGCCAACTGATGAGTCCTGTGAGCTAGGACGAAACCCAAGAATGCAGAATGCTATGCAAGTAGGCACGTTGCAAAAAAATCGAGACAATTTTATTATCGCATTAGGACAGTTCAATCATTAAAGCACCGTTTCTTAAATGCCATGTTAATGCGGCTTCCTCCCGTCTTCCTTACGCAATGGATGCATATAACTTAAAGAATCGATTTCGATATAGGTCGAACGTGAGGAAAATTCGCGAGAAACGAGATAATCATTAAGTGATGAGAAAAATTTGAACAAGGTATTTTTATGGCACCTCATTGAGTTTTATTTCTAAAGGACATTCTAATAAATAAATGATCAATAATGAAAAGTTGGAAAGAACAACTTGACACGGCCACAAAAGACTACGATTATTTCAACGACCTTTTAAAAAAGAACTTCCGCAATTTTTCGAGGAATTCTATCACATGACATGCAACCGAAAATCTATGGTCTTTGGCTGGACCGGATGGACCGATTAGTGGACACCGGATACTTTGATGTGAACTCTGATATCATGAACAGGTTTGATGAGAGACGTGGGGATATTCAGGAAAAGATAGAAGTATTGACGCTGCTTGGACGACGAGCAAAACATGAGGAACAACGTAATGTAGTAATAGTGGTAAGAGGGATAGGGGATTATTTTGAGTAATTGCATATTTTATGTATCTTAAAATAGCTTGCATTTTAATTGATATTTTGCTTCATTCTTGCGAGCAAACTTGTAACAAAAGCAAGGTTAATGACATTTGAAAAAAGTGTTCATCTCAAGGAAAAGGCATCTGCATTGGTCTATATGTACATAATCAAAGTCAGCGCTGTCTTCATGATTTTTCTGGCATATTCAAGTGCTAAACTAATTAACTAATTAACTAAACATAAACCTTTTTCTATTATATTATTCCCTGGCTTAGAAGAAAACTAAATTCCGACTTGTCGCTCTGACAATTAATGCATTGTACCGAAAGCGCAATATGAAGCTTACAAATTTGATTCGTTTTAAAGTTCAATACAAATTAATGAAGGGTTATTTATTAACGGAGTTTGATAAATTGCATGAGGCAATTTTTTGAGTGCCAGGGGTCTCAAAAAAAGAAAAGTATTGCCAAACGAATCGGATTTTAAATCATTAAATGTTAAATGAAACTACTTACAGCGGCGCTCATCCATGTGAAAAAAATATAAATTCTTCTGCAGTTTTAAATATTCACAAAAATAATTTGAAGTGTATTAATCGGGTTTCATGACGAAAAGAGCTTATTTCTTCGGAATCTAACAAAGTTTTTTTTTCAAATTTTGCAATGCGAACAAATTTTCTTTTACACACATGTATAATAGAGAATTCTAATTGCATGCATGTACAGTGCACACAATAAAATTATGAGAAGTTTTATTTGTTCTAAACAAGAAAGATACATTAGACAGTTTTAAAATTAAGAATATATTATATTCGTTAAGCTTTAAGGAATTAAGGAAAAAGTTTATTAAGTTTAATGATATTATAATAACTTCTAATAAGCTCTCTTAAATAAAATTGTATTCAATGATACATGTATTTTGTGGAACTAAATAAAAATTCATATTCGTGAACTGTTAATTTATTGGCTGCCGAGTTCATTTTTTGATTCTCCGTCTTTTTTTTCTTTCATGTGCACACTAGTGATACAGGGAATATTTTATCTAATTTAACCTACGTACGTAAAGAGAAATTCAGGATAGGCGAAATTCAATACATACCGATACGTATAAATAAAGTTTTCTTTTTTTAATACGTATTATTCTATGGGAAAAAGTGGATTTTTTTGTTATTTTTGTTTTTTGTAATAATTTAGCCCAACGAACAATGTGTTAGACAAAATAAAAACGATCTATGATGCGTTCCATTTCGTATTTCTTTAAAAAGTATCACTAAAGAGTTGCATAACATTCACATTGAGGAATTTGTGCATCATGACTTTCACCCTGGAATATATTGCGTAGTGCGGTTTAATAATGTTTTCATTGCTGAGTTTGGACTTACTAAACCAGCATATATAGAAAATTCTGATTGAAAAATTTATGGAGTTCTTCCTTATGTGAGTCCAGAGGTACTAAATGAAAAGCATACACTAAAGCTGCAGATATTTATAGCTTTGGAATGATATGTACGAGGTTGTCACAGGTGAACGACCATTTGATGAACGAAGTCATGATATAGATCTCGTATGCGACATCTATAAAGGAGTACGACCACGATATCAAACGAGCTACAATACCAAATAATGTTCCCGGATGGTGCAAATTTATTATTGAAACATTTTAGGATCCTATTCCAGAAAACAGACCATCTACCAAGGAACTTAAAGACTTTCTTTACTTCTACTCTATCCGTTATCCACCAAACAAGAATGAACTGATACTTTGCATTTTCAGTACTACAGTTCTTTAGAATATCCTAAGACAAATGAAGTTATTGAGTGTCTTAAATTAAAAATGCAGAAATTAGATGAACTTGATGAGGAGATGGAATTGCAAAAAAGCATGCCTACGAATACGAATAAAAAACAAGAAATCCGAATGTTTACTTCAAAATCAATATCTATTCTAACTAACACAGTATTCTGTATTTCTAAATATAAATCATATTGACGTTTCATATTAATTAAAATTCATATATTTATTTAAGCACTACAAGTGTCAGTTTGTATACTCCAAACGATTTCAATTTCAGCATACCATGTGAAAAAGGTGACGAGTAACTTGTAAGAAAAACCACAAATCCAATGATAATTACACTAAATTTTTTATTATATATCGTTGATTTTAATTTAAGAATCGAAATTCTGATGGTAATCATGTCTAAAAAGTGTTTTTTTCGTGCTTGTAACTGTTCTCTTGGTTGTGTAAGAAAATGCTGTTTATCTTTGGATTCGTTATTTTGATTGGATTCTAAACACTTGTATTATCACGAATAAGAAAATTGGCTAGATATTCAAATCCTCTGCATAATACATGTATGATCCGGCTAGGTGTCTTAGTAAAGGCCACTAGAAATTTTAAACCAAATTTGACGAGTTGATATTAGTACAGTGGGGACAGCAAGTCACATCCACTCGAATATTAAACGGCAAATTTTGGGATGACTGTTATTTAATATTATATATAATGTAACCAATAATATAATGCAACCAATAATAATTTACAATTTTTTATATTAAAAACAGCCTAAATTAATAATTCATTTACTTGATTCATTATTTCTACATTAATTTCTCTATGTTTTTATGTTGTTTAACTGCACATTTCAGCAGCTTTTCCTGTTAGTCCATGTCTATATACATCCATGCATCTAATTCTTTCTATTGAAATAGAACTAAATGCCTGATTAATAGTTTCTTTCAATTTTGGATAAGAATATTCACAATGAGAACGAGTATACTTTTTTGCTGCATCCCAATACATTTCAAAGTAATTAAATTCAGGATGAAATTTTGGATAAGAAATAACCTAAATTAAATAAAATTAATTTAATTAAATAATTTAAAGTTCAATAAATAATTTAATTTACCTTATGACCGCGTGATTCAATTTCTTGTTGAATAATACCACGTTGAGAAAAAAAATCTGGTTGATTAGCCGTAATCGACATGAACAACAATAATGTTCAAGTCGGATTTTTTTCTTTGCACAAACTACACTCTAATGCCATTCCTTCTCGCCATAATCCTCTTTCACTAAGAACCCATTTAATTACTTTAGGTTGACCAATTAGATTAACATTGTTTTTTATCATAAATGTAAAAATCATGTGCAATAATCATTGATTGTCGTAATCCATTCCATATGGTGTCTCGCATTTTAGGCACAGAACCACCCGGTCCCAGATTCATTTTTGAAATTACAAGAGCATCCTCAGCAAAAGCAGTATGTGACGTAACATTATCAAATGCCTATACATTGTGGATGCGTTCTTTCAAAGATTGTTATTGCTTTTTTGACTTGATCTACAAGTTTTTTGCATCCCGATTTGTTCCTAAGATCATTGTTATTCGTGTTTCTTGATTATCTTTGAGAGTTCCGATAGTTTCCATTGTAAATTCGTTTACATGAACGCCCAAACCCAATCCTTTTTTTCGAAGAGGTTGTTCTCCTTTTGGACCCCATAAACATTGCTGAGCATCATAAGTATGAAAAATAGTTTCATAATGAATTACCCATATATGTTCTTTTTCACCAACATTCAAATTTGGAAATGTTCTTATTTGACATAACTGATCAAGTTGAGCAACTTTTTGAAGAAAGATTTCCCGATATGCACATCTGACCGTTCGTGACCATCAATGTAACTACTTTTATGATAGGATTAATAATGAAACCCAAGAGAATGCATCCAACGGTGGGCAGTTCGCACAGAAATGCCTTTCACAGAGTCAAGATTCAACTTCGGGAGAATTGTTTTTTCGAAATGATCTTTTACCATTTTTGACATCACCTTAAATTTTTGATTCCTTAGATAGGCTGCGACTTCTATAGATACTAGCTCGTCATGTATTAAACTTTTTGATTGGCATTTGCCGCGAAGACCGAGTGAAAGTAATTCAACTTAATTATAAAATAAATAAGTAAAAAATTGCTAATAAAAAAGAATTTAGCTAATATTGTATCTTGTAAACATTTATTTCCCCATTTCCTAATGCGTTTAGCGAGCCATGAACCACCATTCATTATCTCTGCAACAGTTGCTACTGCTGTCATTTTTTTTACTTCCATTAAGAATCAATCGGAGGAAAAAAAGAACTGCAATATAACGGGCTTTCGCGATAAGTGAAAGTATCTTTTCGCTCATCACATTTTCCACAAAATTAATTACATTAATAATGTTTGTTCTCGTTTCTTGTTCGTTTTCATTTGTCTCACGATTTCCTTCCTCTTGTTCGTTATCATTATTATAAATATGATCATTATTGGCATCGTAGGTGCTGCTGTGGTTGTCGCCGTGGTTGTCGCCGTCATTATTATAATTGTTGCTGATGTTTTCACGATCAGGCATAAAGAATTAAGTTATTTTCAAGCTGCCAATAGCAGCTTCCCTCAAACGCTGTTTTTTGAATCTCAGAGTTCGCTTAGCAAGTCCATTATAGATGTTTGGTCGTCCCTTTTGCTTCTAATGCTTTAAAAAGACGTTGAATTATCGAGTTTACCTCACTACTATTTAGTTGTTCTAAGAAATCATTGTCAAAGAATTCTTGGTCTAATTCTTCAGTGAAATTAATATCGGTAAGATTGCTAACCAATTTCTTAGCAGAACGAGCATGTGCAATGCTTGAACGAAGCTGTCTTTTTCTTTGGTTGGTCCAGGCATCTTGCGGCAATGTTTCTTTGCCTTTCGCGGAGCGGTATTAACCCTTACATCCCCTGTTTTTAGCGCGGTGGACGACGAAGTGGAAGAAATTGTTGACGAGGGAGAGAATTTTATCGTTGCTGCCGCCGATTACTCGTTGGGTCACTATCACGGTTTTGATTGGCCGATCAACTCGGTGACGTAGACTTTTAAGATGGCCAATCCCGAAGAAATAGTATAAGATTAGGGAATTTTTAAAGGGTTACGGTTATAACTCGTGTTTCATACACAAATCAAAAGTTTCTCGTTGGCCAAATTATAGCCAGGTCAAATGGCTATCATTTGGTCAAGTTATTTTTTTTGTACAGTCTTCTCTCATCGAACTATAAGGCTTGGCGTGGGAAAGGTAAAATGAATGGGACTTGCTGTCCCCACTGTACATACGTAACCGACTCCTCAAAAAGTTCAATTAATTCCAAAACGTATGACTATCATCCTCATCATCATCATCATCATTTCCGTTACCTCAACCCGAGTCCAATTTACATAAACGGGGGTGACCAATCTAATCCAAAATGTAGTTTTATCAACTTGTTTTAGAAAAATAACTTCAGTTTTTAAGTAATTAATAAAAGTAAAAAAACATGGCTAAAAATTTCAAAGTTCGGAGTTTACAAAAAGAGTGAAAAAATAAAGATTTCAGTTATAAAGAAAGAATTAATAGACGTTGGTACACCACACAAAAAAAGGGAAAATCGCTATTTTAAAATAGTGATTTTCCCTTTTTTTGTATGGTGGTGATTTTATCCTCACTTTATTAGTTAATAGAGAAAGCAATTTAAATTGCTTTCTCTATTAAACTAATAAAGGTGAGGATAAAGATAATGATGGAACGAGAAAAAGAAAAAGAAGAGGGAAAAAGGGAGGGAATAATGGTTGGTGATGCTGATGATGTCGATGATGTTGGTGGTGATGTCAGCGATTTTGATGATAATGGTGACTTTAATGGTGATGTTCGTGACGATGATGGTGGTGATGATGATAGTAATGTCGTCGATGTTAATCTCGATGATGATGGTAACATCGATATCGACATTGACGATAATATTTTTCTTCTTCTGGACGTTTTGGATGGTGTTGATAATGATATTTTTCTTCTACGTGATGATAATAATGATGACGACATTGATGACATTGGTGATATTGATGACATTGGTGACATTGATGACATTGGTGGTGACATTGATGATATTGATGACATTGGTGACATTGGTGACATTGGTGACATTGGTGACATTGATGACATTGGTGACATTGATGACATTGGTGGTGACATTGGTGACATTGATGACATTGATGACATTGGTGGTGACATTGATGACATTGGTGGTGACATTGATGACGTTGGTGACATTGGTGACATTGGTGATGACATTGGTGGTGACATTGATGACGTTGGTGACATTGGTGACATTGGTGATGACATTGATGACATTGGTGACATTGACATTGGTGGTAAAATCAATGATGTTGGTAATGCTGGCATAACTAATTTTTGTTGATTTGTACAGACAGCAGCAAGCCAACAGTTGAATTCTAATTCAGTTTCTAGTAATGATTGTGATAAAGTTAATGATGATTGTAATAAAGATAAAGCGTTAATCAAATTTTGAAGGTTTGATTCAATAATTGCTAATTCTGTTGGTGAATGAATGGATGATGTTGATGATGATGGTGGCATAGATGATGATGTTGATGGTGATGTTTTCCTTCTTTTAGACGGTCCAAAAACAACCTCAACCATTGCATCTTTTAAATCTTCCGATGACGTTTCCTCTGATGATGACGATTCTTCCTCCGATGACGATGATGCTAGAAACTTTCTTTTTTTTGATTTTCTATTATTATCGTTTTTGTTGTTATTGTTGTTGTTGTTCTTTGTATTGTTAGTATTATTATAGTTGATAAGCGCTTGTGTGAAATAATCAGGATTTTTAATATCCTTAATATCATCTGATGGTGGGTGAGCCATAGCGAAAGTGACCTTTAAGAAAAGTAAAATAATTAATAATTTTTTTCAATTATATTAAAAAAACAAAGGTATCTAAAAGAAATAAGGTGAAGGAAGAAAAGGAGAAGGAAGGGGAAGAAGAGAGAACGTGCTATTTCACGCCATTTTCGCAAGCCATTCAAACTCATTTGATGGCGCGAAATAACGCGTTTTTCTCTCCTCGTTCTCATTTCCCTCTTCTTCCTTCTCATTCCTCCATTCCTCTCTCACTCTCACTCTTCCTCTTCCTCTCCCTTTCCTTTTTCTTTTATTTACTAACCTTTTTCTTTTACTTTATTTTACGGTCAAAAGATAATAACAAAAGATATTAAATCTTCAGAATAAAATTCAAAGCGAGTCAAGTTATGACTCTCACCCTCACGTGCCCACCAATCAATAAGAACGTGCGTGTAAATTTTCTATTGCCGGGTAACGAATCTTTGATCAATCCGGCAAAACAAATCTGAAAAATACGGGAACTAGAATTCTTTCTGTAATCATTGAATGCTATTCAACATTTTTATGAATAAAATTCAATTATTTCATGTATTTCTCGAGTTAATCTTTGCTCATGTCATTTCAACGTCGTGCAATTCTTTGGAAAATCGGCGAGTAATTTCAAAATTACGTAATTCACAATTTTAATGAGCTAATAAAAATTAGATGCAGATCAATCCAAAATGAAAAAAGACAGCGAAACGAGATTCATAGTAAAAATTGGTATGACGGAAGATAATGTGTACTTTTGATGCAAGCAAATAAAGGAAGATCAAAGTTCTAAAAAGTCACCGAATCATAAACTAAGTAGGATCTGCATGAAAGATGAACTTGATCATTTTGTATATTTAACCCACTCCGCTGGCGTTATTTCCTTCATACCATATTTTCACACCATTCCTCTCTAAGATGCCACCACACACCACGCATATTTCTTATCTCGCTATCCGCAACATCTTTAGGCTCTATTTTTAACCAAGGTGGTTGGTTGATGTCCATCAACGTGTTTAACTCAACAAATTGGTCAGTATTGTTACTTTTCCAACGCAACTCGTGTGCTGCTTTTTCAGAACAAACAAACTGTTATACGTCGTCTCGGAATTCACGTCAATTCAGCGTCGTTTCAGAATTGGAATTCACGTTGTTTTAGAATTGCAGGTCTGAAATGTGTGCCAGGTTGGTGGTGCAATTACCCAAATGTTGATTATAGAGTTAGGTTAGAATGAGAATAAGCTAATATGTAAAATTACCTTCCCGACATTTTCATTAGTACTCCGAGTTAGATTTGACCATTCATTTTCTGTATTTTCCGCTTTTCATTTTCTTTTGTATCGGTTGGACTGATCAAAAATTTGCGCCGTTTATGCTACCCGGCATTTTATTAACTTGGCACACATTTCAGAATTTGTTCATTTCGGAATTCGAAATTGACGTACGTAGCTGTATCTTTGTACAGAAATTCAAATTGTTGTAATAAACATTACGTTAACGGATTTAGCATTAGCGTTAGTAATTTCTTTGTGCCAGTAACAAAACACGTAAGCCCGAAATGGATATTCCGGGTAGCACAAGCTATCAACCCGACATTAAAATCCGACACGCGAAAATCTAGCTTGTCACTAATTAAAAATATCAGGAAGGTGATTTTACATATAATCTCAGTCTAATCTACGAGATTCAGTTAGTAGGTCAGGGTCAGGATAGAGGTTAGAGTCATAATATTATATGTGAAATCACCTTTCCAACATTTTAATTAATGCCACAAGATTTTTTCGCGTGTCAGATTTTAATGTTTGATCCATATCGTATCTTCGATTCCTTAATATTTTCAGGAATCCACAAATTGATGTCATTTTGGAATTCCAAGTCAATTTGAGTTCGAAACGACGTACAGAGGGTGATCATAAGTCACCGAACAGCCAAAAAAATCATCGTTTTCTCAATTCTGTGACATGTGAAATTTTTGCACGTGTTCCAACAGATCCGATACACGTTTTTTCTTAGGTGCATTACTGTTATGACTAATATTCATCCCAACCAACACTCACTCCAACACGATATTTATCCCAATACAATAATACAATGGTAAAAAGAAAAGAGCTTACAACAGCTCAAAGAGGTGCGATTCTTTATGGATATTACCGTGGCGATTCTTATAGTAAAATCGCTGCTGTCGGTTGTGGTCATATTACAGTCAGTGATATATATATACTGAAACTGGTCCCATTACATCCAAATCACGAACTGGTTGTACTCGTCTCTTCTCAGCATCACGTCTTAAGCGTCTTATGATTAATAAGAAATAAAAAAATCGTCATCATTCTGGCAAAAAAAGTGGCCAGTTTGTTTCTACACATATTATTCGTCATATGGTGCATAACATCTAAAGTCATCAAACGTTTGTATTTTACAAAATGTATAAACTTCTTTACAAAGAAGTAGATGCAAAATTTAATCCGTGAATATGATAGAATAGGCTCTTTCTGAGGATATTCACGGATTAAATGTTGTATTTACTTCTTAGTAAAAATGTTTATACATTTTATAAAACGCAAACGTTTGATGACTTTAGCTGTTATGCACCATACTCTTTATTGAGGTAGTTTTAGAAATCGCGTTGCATGATGCAAGCCATTGATCTTACGAGCCAACATGGTGGCGTGTGCCAGAAATACAAGGATTGGACGAAAAAAGACTGGGCTAAAGTCTTGTGGAGTAACGAGTCAAACATTTCTGCAGTTTCAGCAAGCCCGTCATAGTAGAGTTTGGAGAGAACCAACAGAAGTATGGCGTCCTGCTTGCGTTTCAAAAACAGTCAAGCACAGTCCAAGTCGCATGATTGGGCACGCTTTCCTCGTCAAGAGTTAGGACCAATTATACCATTACATAATTCTGTAACTGGTAACCATATGTCGAATTATCCGTAAATATGCACTATCTACAATGCGACGCATGTTTAATAATAAGAATTGCTGGTTTTAAGATTCAAACACTGCAAAGGAATTTTTTGATGCATTTGGTTTGCGTACTCTTCCATAGCCTGCACAAATCCCAGACCTTATCCAATTAAAAATTTGTGGGCTCAAGTTAAAACAAGTATTCGCAACCGTAAAATTAAGCTGTAATTTAGAGCAGCTGGAAAACTGCATGGAAAGCGATACCTATTTCGAAACTTGAAAATTGATCGATAGTATACCGAGACGCATATCAGCAGTCATTGAAGCACAGTGAGGATCAACAAAATATTAGTTCATGTATTATTACGTAATGTAAATTTTCTTTTAATTTATTAAAATAAAAAGTTTCATATTGGTCATTTGATTGTTCAGTGACTTATGACCATCCGAAAATGCAAAGCAGATATAGTCGTCTTGGTAGACAGAGCAGAAATTCGTGAAGTTCTCTATCAATTCTTCTGGTTTTCAGGAATAGGATCCCAAAATTTTCAATAATAAATTTGCACCATCCGGGTACATTATTTGATAACGTAGGTCGTACTCCTTTATAGATGTCGCATACGAGATTTCTATCATGACTCTGCCCACTAAATGGTCGTTCATCTGTGGCAATCTCATACGTTATCATCCCGAAACTATAAATATCTGCAGCTTTAGTGTATGGTTTTCCATTTAGTACCTCTGGACTCATATAAGGAAGTACTCCGCAAATTTTTTGATCAGATTTTTCTATATCTGCTGGTTTGTCAAGTCCAAACTCAGCAATTTGAGTAAGTCCAAGATGCATTAATATATTTCCGGGACGAAAGTCACGATGCACAAATTCCTCATTATGAATTTCAAATGATATGAGCTAGGTATGCTAATTTTTGCTCCCAAATCAGTGTTCGTAGTTGGAATTCATATACTATTTTTTGCGTAAGTCATCACTATTTGTAGCTGGGTTTTTAGTTATTCCATAATAATTAAAATACCAAGTACACTTTAGAGCAGTCAGAATCTAATTTTGAAAAAGTTAATTAGAGTGAAAAATAAAAAAGCGATATGCTTACACTTTAAAAGTGTTCATTTTACCTCGTTTATAAACTCGGATGTAATTTGCTTTGAATTGTGTGATGATCTCAACGCAACTTCCCTTTTTCTATCACATTTAAATTTATTTTCTACATGAACCCGTCCCTTATGTGTCTCCAATGGTCCATCCAACCAGGATGCTTTATAAATTGATCCAAAACCTCCGTTTGCAAGATATTCAACATTGGTAAATCTTTCAAAAAGGATCCATTCGAAATATCTAGATATATTATTTTCACCAGCAATTCTGTTACATTAGACTGTCAATATCTTTGTTTCCACTAGAACATTCAACATAAATTCGTCCGTGATATAGCAAACATCCAACACAGTACTCGTTTTTTTGACATTTGGTACACTTACTACAATCATGAATATTGTGAACTGAACACGCTTTGCAGTAGTAATATTTTCGACAAAAAACACATTCACTACAATTAAGAGTATTCGAAGTTTTAGAGACTATGGCAGTGTTTATTCAGGAATATTACGTACGCCCAACATGCGTTAAACGATGAAGGGAGCATACATGAAAAATGAGACAGAACTTTATAACTTTTATCGTTGTGTGTAAATAGCACGTAAAATATTCTTTTTAATATGTCATTAATTTTTATGCACGTTAACGTAAATTGAAGTTCTATGATAAGATGAATTTTAGTAATAAAATGAAGATAATATTTACTTAATTTTTTTTCTTGTATCCTTTTATTTCAGGGTAAATATAACGATAAGTTCATTTATTTATTATTATTATCATCTGACAACATGTACATGAGTTTAGTAGAGAAATTTTAAAATTCTCTCGAAGATACGATTAAGTTTTTGTATCATATCAGAAAAACATTTTGCCAACTTAATAGTTTCAGAAAATGAATTAGCGATATTACCTTAAATACAGTATTTGATAAATAGAAAGTAAAACCGAATCACATTTAAAAACTTTAAAAATGCATTTACTTCTTTTAAAACAAATAAATTTCTAGATACGCGTCATATTCCGCACAAGTATACTCACTGCGAATTAATTTGAATCATTTTTCTCGAACGTAGTAAAACTAGGAAATTTGATACTCGTCTTTTTTAAAATGCAGTTTATAAACATCGCAAAACTTTAACCTAGACATAGCGATTGCTTTTAAATTATTTTAGCTTAATACAGTTCGCTAACTATTACTATAACAAACATAGCGATAGATGCCAGATTTAAGAAATTATGTTAAAGGGTCTAGTAAAAAAGAAAGAAAGACACTTTCATTACTATATATTATTTCCCCTTTTTATTCAGCATGATACGAACAGTCAATAATACATTCACTAAGAGCATTTCTAATTATTCAATTGATTTTGAAGATCTTCAAGAGTATGATTGATATTGACAAGCGGTAGTTTTGGGCCAAGTGTTTAAATAGGTTTTTTGAATCGGGTCTCTGATTTTGTAGATGCTTTGACAGACTCCCCATGCCATGGTCTTATTCGTTCTTATTTATTCAATAATTTTTAAATCAAAATTTTATAACTTGAATTAAATAAAATAAAATAAAACATACCAAAAAGCACTTGATAAATAATCATAACAAGGCCATAAGCACCACCAAAAGCAGCAATAATGCCTAGAAGCTAATTAATAAAAATTAAGCTTTTATGACAAATTGATTAACTAAGAAAACTTACATCCTTATTTCTTTAATAAGATAGAATACATATTAAGTTTTATACTTTAATAAAAAATATTCAAGAACCACATTTTAACAAGAAAATCATAGAAATACTTTTTTCTTTTAATATTGGTACTTCGGTTGTTAGCAGTCTTATATTCAAATACGAATAAAACGAGTTCGAGTCTATCAACGTTTGATTCATGTAATTCGTTGGAAACCTTAATGTTTCTAGAATAATTGTTTTTGTTGTATAGCTGAATTAAGAAATGCTATGTCAATAACGATAATGAACACGAAATTTTATTTCGATGATAGAATTATTTTCAAAGGGCACCAAAAAAACATTTTTTAGAGTATTAACAAGTCTTTCATTTTTCATCTTTTGAAACCAAACATGTTCAACTAAAAAATAAAATGTTACTTTATAGAGTGCATTCAAATTTACCATGATCAAGCAAGTAACTTTCAAATTCGATCCAACTTCTATCGAAGAATTTGTATTTTATAAAATAGATAAACTTCATGATTGAGAAGTAAATACAAAATTTAATCTGAAAATATGATAAAATAGGCCTTTCTGAGCATATTCACAGATTAAATTTTGTATTTACTTCTTAATAAAGAAATTCATCCCTTTATAAAAACAAACATTTGATGTTATCCACCATTGTGAGCAGAAATTCAATAAAATCAATCAAAAGAGAAGCCAAGATCATTATTTGTTGTGTGAAATACATGTACTCACACAAATTCTTCACATTCAGAATCAAATCTTGGCTTCTCTAGGTAATTTGAACAATTGTAGATTGGTACAACTTCTAGAATTATTACAAAAAAATTTATTACAAAAGAAGAAATTTATATATTTATAATAATATAAATAGTAAGTAATCTTTAGACAATATAATAATAAATAGATTATTCTTTACTTGAAATACTTCAAATTTAAAAGAGACAACAAATAAAGCATTTATATATCATGCAAAAAATTATTATAGATACATTTTCAATATTGAAAACAATATATACACATATGCAGTATCATCATGAATATGGATACAAACAGGCTGGCTTTGTAATGAAAACCAAAAATTTTATTTGTGTGACCTTATAAATTAATTCAAACTTTTTAAAGCTTAAAGAATATAATTCTTAAATTTTAACAGTTTTTGATGGATCTTTCTTGTTTAAACCAACTAAAGAAATTATTTATGGTGCGCACTGTATTTTTAAATATTATATTATTAGATAATAACAATATCTATACAGGGATACAGTCGAACTTATACAAGTGAA